GCCTCTTGGTGCCTCTGTTAGTCTCTCCCTACAAGCTGAGGGGAGCAACCGATCTTAACACTGACAGGTATACAGTCAGTGGCTTAAATATCAAAACCCTTAGGTTCAGTAAGTGATCTTACAGAAATCTGAATAAAGACTATCCCTGTTCAATTTTTTTTCCACTGTGTTGCTAGAAAATGAAGGGATGAACAGGTGGAAGATAAAGTTGCAAGAGAAGAAAACCCCATGCAATTCAAGATGGGACACGTTTTATGACTCATTCTCTAGAGGTAGGAAGAGTATGTTTGCTTTCTCATGATAATGGAGGATTCTGCTCATGTTCATGCCCTACTCCAGATTTTCTGCATTGTCCAAATGTTGTCTAGTGCTCTGGACCACATCTGAAGTGATGCATCTAATGAACCTGGAAGAGAAGGGAGTTAAATTCTGACATGACAAACTTCAGCCAGTCCTAGAGAGTAGAGACATAAACACCCTGACCATTCCCAGGGCTGAAGGGATCTTCACACTGCTTTGCTGCCCAGACTTTGCTCTTGCCATGACTCTGGAAGAAGGTTCATCTCTGTAAGAGCTGCTGGTTTTTGCCTTTCCAGAGGCAGTTATGTTTGCATACAACATTTGGCTAGAAGAAATGGTGAGTTTCTATGTAGAGTTGCAGGGTACAAAAGGGTAAGAAAAGAGGGAGAAAGGACTGACTGCAACAAATACTTCTTGCTGTAACAAAAGCTATTGGGGGGGCTGCCTCCCACAGAAAGTGATTTGAAGTTGTTGAACAGACGCTGCCTGTTTTTTAATGTCTGGCAGAGTCCTAGCAGTCTGCACTGCATCTCACTAGGGAATCCAGGCTACTAAGCAATGATGAGAAAGGAGAGGAAAAAAAAAGACGGAGGTATTGAGAAATGGAGGTAGCAAAATTAGAGGTAGACTTCAATTTATGATTTGGAAGCCAAAGAGAGCTCTCCAGGTGATTGAACAAGCTGCCTTCAGTTGCAGCAGCTCTCCTTACAGCTTCGAGTGGCCAGCTTCTAGATTGCTTTGGTTTGTAGTCATGGATAAGCACTCCCCCTGGAAATTACTGAAAACAGCCTGCCACATCATCTCACAAACTTATAAAGTTATATTTTAATTGTGTTATTAAACCTTTCCCAATTTTGTTTTTTTGTCTGTTTACCCTCCTGATTCATCTGGATCAAGCTGTGCTGGAACAGCAATACGGTTCCTCCTGAACTGTGCTCTTTATGTGTAATAGAGCAGGTAATGAGAAAGGGTGAAACCCACTGCCCAGAAGCAAGCTAAAATTTATCTTACTCTTTCCATTAAAGGCCTGAGGGTGGGGGTAGGTTAGGGGAGTACTAGAGAAATGT